CCTACTCACTGTGCAGAAATTCTATGAAGGGCGAGAGCTACTGAAGTGGCAGATCTGTGTAATCCTGCCGAATCCACCATCTCTGCTGCACTCTTTGCCAGCAGCTTGTCAAATAATTAAATTAAAAATCCATATGTGGCAAAAGCTACTGGTAGCAGAATTCCTACCTGGGCCACCGCGAATCTCTTGGTCTCTCTGTCCTGTCCCAGTCCTGGTGCCTCTCTGTACCATGCCAGGAGTCTCCTTTTTCCTGCACCACACCAACAATATGCTACAGCCTTCATGGAGGCTCACAAGATGCAAATGTAGAGGGTATAGGGAAGGCTTCAGGAACACAGACTTCTAGAAATTTGGAAACAGTAAGTGTAGGCTAGAAAAATCTCAAGAGTTCTCCCCACATTAAGTGAATCTCCCTGGCTAAGGCAGCATCTGTTCTATGTCTTTCCTAGATGCTTGATCCTGATGTATCCTGATGTTAATCAAGGCTACTTCCATGGATGGAGACTTCATGGCTCTCAAGAGAACTATACAAATGCTTCCTCATAACCACCACAAGTTTTCCCCTCTTTCCTAACCTATACTTCCTATGCTACAGTTTAGACCCACTACTTCGCCTTCTCCATCATGATGACTACAAGCTTCTTGGTACCCCATGTTTTCCTTGCACACATACATAACTTAAAAACCCCTACACTGAACCAGGCCTTTATTTGGTAGGCTCTTGTACCTCCCAGACAAAGATCTAGCAAGCTCCAATGACTGGAAGCTGGAACTTGGCTTATTCAGGTTAGAAACAGAGCGCAGATTTGAACACTACAAGTATTTCAGCAGCTGGAACAATTTACCACAGGCTGTGATGGAGTGTGACAGGCAGTTTAAATTGGGATACTGAATATTTCTAGAACACCACTGTGTTTTGAAAAGGATTAATACAGAAACATCCTCTACTATGTGTGTGTTCTGCAATATTGTGCTGTACTACACTCTAATAGGTAGTAAGGTCAGGATTGTAACCTGGCAAGTTCTTCTTCCTTGCCTAATTATTGTTTCTTCCTCATAGCTCAGCGTGGGGTTTTCTCCTACACAGCACTTCATTTCCTGTGTAAAGCCCCTCCACACACACTCATCCCCTCTCTCCCAACCCAAGGGCAATGCTAGTTAGACCCTTCACACCCAGGAGAATTGTCGCTTGCTCGGCCGGGCTGACACAGACTTCCTAACATCTGTTCATCCGAGCTGTTTGGCCTGACCAGCTCAACTCCAGACAAGCGTTTCACACTTGGCAGCCCAAGCCCAATTTGCCATTCAGATACTGTAGGTTACCTCCTGCACAGTCAGCCCTGCAGTGACATGAGTCATCCCCCTTCCCCTCCTCTCGAAGCGCGGGCTCCCCCGGGGCTGAGGCGATGCCTGTCGCTGCACGGAGGTGTGCGGGTGTGAAGGTCTGGTTCTCGCAATGACGAGTCCTCCCCTGCTGCACTGCCAGTCTGCAGGGCTACAGCACAGCCCTGCAGCTTGGCCTCTGAAGCCTGTAGTTTTCACAGGCAAAGTCCTGCTGCCTTCAGCTATGCAGAGGGCCCGAAAACCCACATGGCAATAGCCAAAACACAAACAGCATTACACTAGTAATGATGCAAATCTCTCAGCTCTGATGATCTAAGGCTTCATCATTAAGTCTGAAGTAATTTCTCTCTATATTTTGGCCTCAAAGACATGGCCAATGTCAGGTTCCATACAGAGCAACACCAAGAACACGGACAAACTCATATGGGTTTGCAGAAATTCAACTTAAACTCGACTGAAACGTCTGGCACAAGCATTAGCTTGTAGAGTGTATTTTAGTGAACAGTGCAACTTCTCAGCAATAGCTGACCCAAGGGAGAAGAAACTGCAGTCTGGTACAAGGAACTGGCTTCACAGGTAATGAGATGACACTACATTGGACAGTGAGAGTTTGAGTGGAGCCATTAGAAATGCATGTAGTCCCTGGTTCCCATAAATATAGATACAAGCCTGTTCTCAGGGACAACCTTTAGAATACAACATGAGGGGAAACATGGCCACGGGTTGCCCCTGTGTGCCAAACAGAACAAGCATGACCATCCTGCCCTGGTCACCACTGTGTCTCCCTTAGTGCCTTCCAGTGACATTACATGGACCAAACAGGACAGGTCTTTGTGAAGTCCTCCTCAGGATGGCTGCAAAATGTATGTAGCAAGACACTGTGGATATGGCTGTCCCAAGGCAGGCAATGCAGAGGCAAGGAGTGCAGCCCACGTTTCTCCTGTTCAAAGGATCATATTCCTTCCAGCAGTAAGATTATGGCTTACTCAAACAGCCTTAACCTTTGCTGGCCCTCAGTAGGAGGAATATTATCAGATCAGCTTCTGACTTCCCCTACTTCCAAAGCACAAGCAAGCACACAAAGAGGTAGGATGACATTTGGCTTCTTGTAAAGAACAGCAGATAATTTAGTGAGATTAAAAACCAGCCTCCTCTCCCACAGAAACCATCTCTGCATGGCTGGGCAGTAACCTGCCTCCACAGAAATGACGCTGCTCGAGCGCCTCTCTGTGGACTTTTGATCTCCTGTTCCCGCATTCACACAATCCTTTTGATTTCACCACTTTTTTTCTTTTGTTCCTCACATTCACAGAGCCAAATTGCTCTTATCATATCCAGGTAGCACCTCTGAGTTCACTGAACTTGTCACTGAGCCAGAACTTGGCCCAGCTGAAACCAACAGTTTCACCCTTTGATAGTGATATTATGATACCTCTCAATACCTCTCTATAATTTCCAGGAGAATTAGCTCAAATTGGCTCAGGCTTATGGCTGCCTAGGGCTCACTGAGTGACTGGGAAGGAAAAAATATCTGGAAAGGGTATCCTCTTTGGAATAAGCAATCAGGTGCCTCTGATCTTCCCCAGAAAGGGCTGTGAAGATCAGTGCACAGCTCCATCACCAATGCACATGTCAACATGCAGATCATACCATTTTTTTTCTGCAGCCCTTCAAAGAAGCAAGAGAAAATAAATGGTCCTCTGCTAAAGTCATGAGTAAAAACTAAGGCTCTTCATCAGTCTCCTGCAGCTGCCTGTTGTTTTCCTTTCCCCCTGGAGCCTGCCAGCTTCTGGTTATCTTGGCCAAGCACGTGATTAGCATTTTACAGCAAATTCAAACTGCAAACAAACAAGAGCATCTTGAGACAAAGACACAAACTGGTGGATCACACAGTACATCCAGCTGCTCCATCTCCATCTTTGGAGATATTCAAAAGCTGTCTAGACACGGTCCTGAGCAACCCACTCTTAGTAGCCTTGCTTGAGCGGGGGGAGCTGGACTAGGTGATCTCCAAAGGTCCCCTCCAGCCCATGCTGTGATTCTGTGAGCAGATCCTGTCCTGCCTCTTCTTCAGTTGCTAGCCAAGCACAACTCCTTTCCTGGATGGAAAGCAGATGGGCCAAGACCAAAGTACATAAATCTCCCAGACCTTTACGTTTAGACAAACAACAAGGATTATAGCAATTGCTGTTCGAGGGGATGTATATTTGTTATGCTGTCTCTCTACAGCATGGGAAGCAATGCAGGAAGAGGAATTCCTCCCCAGAGTAATCCCTTGTGTCCACTTATGGCAGAAGAACCATTTTTCCCCAAATCACCACAGCTAGTGTTAAACTGGGTGGCCCAGTTTAAACAGGCATTAAAGGTGGCTTGAGCTACCAGCCTGACTTGACGCTGAAGCAGATGGTGAGTGCTCATACAACTTGCTATTAATGTACAGAACAATTAGATGAGCTATGGAGTTGTAATCTTTGGCAGATGGAAAGTGATAGCACAGAGGGCTTTGCCATGGTCCACAGAGCCTTCGCAAAGTGGAAGGGTTTGCATTCAAATAGCCTGTGAGTCTCCAGAGCAAATCCCAGCATCCTGAAACTATGAAACAAGTGTAATGCTTTTCTCATTTCCTGTCTCTAGAACAGACTAGGTTGCCTTCACTTTCCAGAAAATGAGCTGAGGCATCCCATCAAACCTCAATCCAGAAAAAGGCAATTTCCTATGAAAAAAAATGGAAGGGGACATTGGCATAGGAGAGTCTACATAGCTCAAACGGTGCTGAGTGCCTGCACTCCATAGTGATGGCTGGCTGCACTCTTGGCAGGGCTCACCGGCAGCAGAACCGAGACAGGCACAGCCCACCCCCGCACACAGACGGGAGCAGTCAATCCCAGTTCAGGGGCATTGTATTCAGTTCTTGTTTGACATGGGTGCTTGGTCTCATATTGCCCCTGCCTGTTACTTTGTCCGTGGTGTCTGTAGATTTTTGGCCTTTTACCATTGTGCTTGTGGACTGCCTTCCATTCAACACAGCTCATTTACTTCTCTGGGCACCCAAGCTTCTGCCCAGCTCCTTGGTGACATGAATATTTGGCTCTGACACTGGTTCTAACCTCATCTTAATCAGTAAAACCAACCACTGTGCCCAGACTATAATCCCTACGTAGTCTTGCCCCAAAGTTGTGAAGCTGAAGAACAGGCTGGATGGATCATGACACTTTGCAGCATCACTGCTGCTTGACCTTGCTATGCTCTGGATGATGCCAGCCACACTGCTGACTTGCTGCCTGGTTTAAAAGGACTAGGTCCCTTGCTAATGTTGCTGCCTGTCCATTTGGGTCAAAGCAGAAGATGATGCACCCTAGTGAAATGCAAAGGCAAAGTCAGAGCATCCACCTCTGGTGAAATGTCAGTCCTGTGAAGTGCAGGAAACACATGCACTAGACAAAAAGCTTTATTGAGAAGGGACACTTTAATACATCATGTTGTTCTGATGCTCCAGGTCTTTGGGAAGACTCAAAAATCCATTGTAAATCCTTAAACCACGGAACTTTGGGACTGCCACCTTGGTAAGAGGCCTCTCCTACCTCAAAACTGTCCTGTATGTTGTGGTGTCTCTGATAAGGAAGAGCTGATCCCTGCTGGAACAAGCTGAGGGTTAGCTAAGAAACGTAGGGCACAGATCCTATTGCAGAACAGCAGGTGTGAGTAGCAGGCAGGGAGCTGGCTGCCAGATGACAAGTTGCTCCAGGCTGGAAAGCAGCAGGACTTACACAGAGCTGGTGTTCAGATGTCAATCCTGGGCTATTGGTCTTCAGGACTGTAAAAACAGAGAGCCTACCCTTCAGATGCAAGGCTGACTGACTGTGGTTTCTACTGTCCCCTCACTTTTTCTTTCTTTCTCCCTCTCTCTCTTTTTGTCCATGGCAGCTGCATGTGCTTGAAGTCGGCTCCAGCACTCAGGCATCTGCTCCCCGAGTCCCTGCAGGCTCTGCTGCCTAACAAGAGGAAGAAGAAGGGGTTAAAACAGTCTCTCCCACTGCCTCTGCTATCCCCCTTAAACTCAAGCACACTAGCTTGGCTCCCCAAGGGCCCCTGGGCCTCAGTGTAAATTAAGCAGTTCTGATTTCTTGTGTCTGAAAGGCCCAGCAATTAATTCCATGCTACTCAGCACTAATGTGCTCTTGCCAGTGGTAACCTTCATACTTTTCCTTGCCTGCTAGTCCCTTTAGGCCCAGGCCTCACTGCTGTTGTGTGGTCAGAAGCAGGGTACATGCTATAGATTGCTAGCAACTCCTTTCTCTGGCTTTAGCTCTCAGTACCCAGGAAGCAAATTAATTCTGGAGGTGAAGTCTCCGGTTGCTGTTATGGGGTTGACAACAGTCTCCTCTTCAGTTTTATGAGAAGGAAGGACAGAATGCAAATAACAAAACTTTTCTGCCCTTAAGTAGCCAGCACCACAGGGTTGGCCCTAGAAGCAAGGAGTTGGAGAAGACTGGAAGGTAATACAACACTTTGGTCATGCCTGCACCTACCTGCCCCACTTCAAATCAGAGAACTAAAGCCTGAGGATAAGACTGAACAGAATGTCACTGGCATGATTCTGGCTTCAGGTTCACAAAAGAAAATTCAAGGGAAAAGTCACTCAATAACAGATGCCACATTGCCATCTAGTGACAGCATGAACTCAGAGCATCAGCTAGGAACAGATCGCATTGCAAGCTCAGCAGGAGAGTGCCAGGAGCCTTCTAAAGTGGAGAAATCATCAGCACAAGTGTACTTGCAAACCAAGCAAATCCATTAATGCAGAGGAGGAACAAGGTGCAAAGAGATCCCAGCTCCCTCTGTCTATAGGCCCAAAAGAAAGGCAGGCACTTAAGGCGAGATCCAGCCTTACCCAAACATACATATCTGTGTCAGTGCATAGAAGAGCCTAGGGCTCTACGGCGAGACCTTGTATGGACCTGAGCAACATCTCAGCTGCAACTATCCTGATGCACCAGCAGGAGAATCTTACCAATCATGAAAGAAAATATTACATCTCTCCATCCATGGCAGGTCTTGTAAGGGTTTATCAGGCAAATCTGGTTCCTTTGGAAAAGAGTCCTTCAGCAGGTAGGAGTTGAAGTCAAAAAAGAAGATGGAGCTGTGACTTGCTGTGCTCTGTGCCAATACATCTGCCTGCTGCTTATCTCCTGAACAGAAGAGACAAGAATAGTGGGCTATTTCATCAGGACTCATCCAATGAAAAGAGCAATCAAGGATCAGTGTTGAACCCAATGACCATATACCCAAAATTGTTTCAAGTTCACCAGTAGTAAAAAGAGCAATCCCCAAGATGAGTTCCCAGCCCTGCTCTGTGTGAATCCTGTCTTGACTGAGGATGATTGGCGGTTCCCTGGAGATTACAACAGGGCTGTGAGCAGAAACATAGCAATGCATCGAGACTAATCAGGCCTGAACAGTTCCTGTAAGCTCCCGATTAACTCACCAGTCCCGCTGCACGAGCTGATGCTTCCCCTTGCTAGAACTTTGCCAGAAATACAGCCCAGTCCCCTCTGCGCTCTCACTGCCTCTTGTCTGCAAGTCCCACTTTGCATCTGACTACCCACCTCGAAGGATGAGGCACTGATCTGCAGGATCCATGGTGAACACTGGTTGCCAGGGGCATGCTACAGCATGAGAAGGTGGGGTGTTGAAGTAGCAAACAATATGTGATGTGGCAGTGTCCATCAGGGACACTGTGCCATCCCAGGAGAAGACCAGGGTCTGAAACAGCAAGATGACACTGAGAGAGAGGGGTATAAGAAGGGTGAACAGCATTTCCTCAAAAGGGCAGGGAATGGCATCTAGGATTTGATGTCCCTGACTGTCATGTTGTTTCCTTTGCCTGCTCTGTAGTTGTAGGGCCATAGAAGATCAAGAACAGGCTGTGCAGGGAACTTGAATTGCTGCAGTTTGGGGTTAGGATTGGGATGGGCAAGATATAGCTGAACTAATCTCAGCCTTCTGCACTGGCTGGCTCTTGCAAGGAGGTTTTAAGTCCTTTTTGTCCCATGTCAGAAAACCTTTTTTTTTTTTTTTTTTTTTTTTTTTTTTTTACTTTTTCAGCTGTACTTCTGCTCTTAAGGGAGGCTGGCAGCAATACCCACTGTGCTGGGGAAGGCCAGGATAGGTGCCACTGTGCTGATGGCAAGCTTGGGATCTTCAGGCCTGTGAAAGAGATCCAAGTTAATGGTACTGTGCAAGTGAATGGATCTGTTTTTGAGGGCTCCCCCTCAAAGCAGACATCCCCAAAGCTTGTCCTTGTGCATAACTGTCTAGGAAGTAGATAGGAGGTGCAAATCCCCTGCCTACCACAGAAGAATAAAGCCATAGTTCCCAGAGCAGCAGATTCCTCAGCACTGCCCCTCCTCACAGCAAGGGGATGAATGAAAAGAAATTTGAAGGAAAGATGGCAGATGAAGGAAAGACTTGCAGGTGCCAGCTATTCTGTCAGGAAGAGAAGAGAGAAAAGAGATGTCCTGGGTAGCTGGCAGGGGTCCAGGCCAGTGGTATGAGTCTGTGTCCTAATGCAAAGGAATACTCAGGAACACCCTTAATTTTGGCCCCACCATTAGATTTCAGCACTAGGACTAACCAACCACTAGTAAAGTCACATATCTTGCTGCATGGCAGAGATATCTGGGCTATGACAGCAGGAGAGCTCTCCATCCCACGGAGATGTGGGGCTCCTTGCTGATCCTGACCACTGCATCACACAGTGTCTTTGGCTGGAGTGAGAGATCCAGCCTCACCTGGCTGCCAGGCACGTGATGCTGGACTTCCCAGCCCGGGGAGCTTTCACCAAGTAGAGAGACCCATCTGTACACAGCACGAGAAGCTGCACAACAGGATAGGCAGGATCCGTGCCAGGGTAAGGTGCCTGGGGTCTGGAAAGGTCACTGGCAGCTCCAGCACTCCGCAGGAAGTGCATACTGCGGATGACATGTTCATCTAGAAGGGCAGTCACAGTCAATGGGTATCCTGAAGAGGCAGAAGAAAGAATAATAAATCAATAAATAAAACAAGGCAAAAGTTTGAGAAAAGAATGGGAAACTTATTCAAGAAAAGCTTCACCAGAGGATGTGGCACCCTTATAGGCTTGACCAGGACCCAGGAAGGTCCATCATTTTGCCTGCACCTCTGGCTACAGTGCAGTAAGAAGCCTCCTCAGGTTCCTTTCAGGAGCCTTAGGGGATTTGATTTGGTCTACAGTGTGCTGACGGAAAGGGAAGATTCTTCCGATAGGAGAATCCCTGCAAGAGTCAGGTGAAACTAGCATTGATGGAAGCCTAGATTGTATCCTGGTCAGCCTGGACTGATTTTATGTCAAAGAGGACCTGAGGCTGCAGTTGGAAAGAAGCAACTGTCCCACAATCTCAGGGCAAAGATGGGAGTCAGTCCTCCCTACTGCAGTTCACAGGTCCTGCACTGCTATGGATGGGAATGGTTCTGCTGGAGCTAGTACAATTGTGTTGCCATGATGGCAACAGCTGTCCAAGCCTCCTGTTAACAAATAAGTCTGAAGACTTGGAAGATTTGTTTGTAAACTCATTTGCAATCTCCCTTTTGCACGCACTCATAGCCTCAAACTCCCAGGGAGTAGAATAGTCCATGGTGATCCCAATGGACAGGACCAAAACGCAAGCTCACCTAGGTGTTGATCCCAAATAGTTATTGCTGCATCTTCACATGCCAGTGCCAGGTACCTGCAGCAGGAGCTGACAGCTGAGCATGCAATTGGAGCTGCACATGGCCACACAACTTCAGGCTTCGGATCAACATCTAAACAGCAGGACAGAAGAAGGCTGGACTAGGAAGACAGTGTTCTCTGGGGTCTCCTGCCAGGCTGGCTTCATTAGAGATAGTGCCAGCACAAAAAGCATGGAGCTAGAATACGAGCCTAACCCACAAGACACAGGGCACCTCTCTTCCCTGATTACTTGAATCATGGAGATTTGGTTGAGTGACAATTATTGGCTTCTGAACATCCCCACAGAGTCTCCTGCTAGGGAAAGCAGGACTACACCTACACAATTAAACTTGTGGACAACCCCTTCCAGCCTCTGCACTGTATCTACTTAAGGTAATAACCTCCTCTAGTCTGGGCCTGGTTCCCTTCCCTCCCACCAGGTTGTAGGCACTGTGTTGCAGTGAATGACTGAATCCAAAAGTTAGGGAAAATTCACAAAAGTCTGCTGGGGAAAAAGGAGGATTCCCCTCCTATACACACAGCTAGGAAAAGGGCAGATTAACAGTGCTGGGTGCTGCTGGGTGAGACCTTTGTGAGCAGTTGGGAATTTCCCCTGACACACTTGTTAATGTGAAAGCCTCTGGTCACAAGTTTGGAAAAACAGCCTTGTTTGGTTCCTTTTGCTTACCCACTTTCTCCTTGAATGAACGGCTAAGCAAATATAAGCAGAGATTGTGACTTCCATCCCAGTGCACACTGATGCCAGCTGGTACAGCTGAAGATAGGGAGAGCGTGACCAGAAAAAAAAAAAAAAAAAAGAGATCAGGGTATTCCAGTTACTCACACAAAATAATTCTTCCAGGTGTTGGTAAATAGTGAAGTGACTTAAAAATAAGTGGGTGAAAGGTGGGCCCTTTAGTGGAGAAAGGTTGAGAACTTAAAAATGTTCTGAAAATTTATTCTTGCCATAATGCCTCCTTTCTTCATTTGTGAAACTAAATTACTGAGCAAAAAAGGTATGTAAAGCGTAAGCCTAAAAATCGGTGAAATCAGAGACTGGATTTTGGCTACTTGTAAAAATTTTATCATTTCTTACAAGTACATTTGTCACGTATCTGTTGCAGACCCAGGTTGCTTGCAAGGAATTTGTTAGCACACTAGTCTAAAGAATGATTTACAATAAATGAGAGCAGGTAGCTTCAGCTTCCAAGTTGCCTATTGAAGTAGTGGAAGATGTATTCTGCAGAATTCAAGAGTAATTTGGAGCAACACTTTGCTGATTAGAAGCAAAGTGAAGGAAATTTTTTGCATGGTTATGGAGCAGTGCATTTCATAGAAGCTGATAACCAGAAGAATGAAAAACAGAAAATTGCATTAAACAGTGGTATTAGTTTGTACACAAGAAGATAACACTCTAATTCACCCAGTATGGAAACAGGACCAATCAATCACTTTCCTTTGAATTCTCTCTAATTTCCCTGCCTAATGATTCCAAAAGCCTCAGACATTACTATGAAATTGTTACTACTATTTTCCTGATTACAGGTACAGGAATATTGTACCTTGAGCACTTGAGTTACTTCCAGTATGAGTGGTACATAATTTCAGGATTGCATTTTCATGAAAAGGGCCACATTTCACCTTCCTGCTAAGGCTCATTCTAATTAAGGTTCATTCAGTGAATCTTCTGTACTACCAGCACATTATCCAGCTATTTGAAGGCAAGGATTAGTGCAAATCACCTCAGGATCTAGCTGACCTTGCCTCTTTGTGGCAATCTCACTGACAGCATCCTCAGCATAAGGTTACTCCCTCCCCATTCTCCTCTCTAAAACTTCAGCTTGTTCCTATGAATGCAGGAGTCAGAGAGAAGGACTGATATTCCTGTCAGACTGCTGGGATCTAGGAAACAAACAGTTTGCTCCCTCTCTGGTGATGATGAAGCTGAAGCTGTATGAAATCCACTTCCAGGCACACTGTAGTGTTTTGTGCTAACAGGGGTGGTATACTGTGCGCTGGCTGAGTAACAAGCAAATCCCACTACAGGATTGTAGGTAACTACAGAGACAGGGCAGGAAAGGGAAGCCTGTTACTGAAACTTTCTATCCTGTTTTATAGACGTAGGGGCCACGATTCCTTTGGAATTCCTCCTAAAGGAGGCTGCAGGGTGAGCATCAGGAAACAGACCCTGACCTGTAATAGGTTTTGGTGGCTTGACTTTCATCAGCAACACTGGGAGGCCCGTCCTTATATCAGTTTTGCTTGCAGACAGAAGAGATTCCTGCAATAGAGAGTCAGCCTGAGACCTGGCTTTCCAGTAGCTGTGTTGTGGCCTATGCTGAAAGTTTTCACCTGTCAAAAGTTCCTGAGAATCAAATCTTTCCTGTAGTAGGATGCTCTCATTTACTCAGATGGGGCAATACTGCTGGTAAGGGAGCTGGCAGTTTCAGGGAGAGCAACAGAAATGCTAGCCCTCTTTGAAAAGCCTGTACTGAGAGGCAACGTGTCCCAATAACTACAGACAACACAAGGTTTGGCTTACACTGCCTAGAAGATACTCGTTTTAGCCTCATTCCTCAAGCCAAAACAGAGGAGCTTGAGGGAGGTCAGTACTTCATACTTGCCAATGCTACAATCCTTTGTGCTCTGCTCCCTCCTTGTGCTCTGCTTCAATCTCCCTGATCTCCTTGAATGTCTCTTGTTGCAGCACAGGCTTGTATGGGCAGAGGAAGGCTGTAGCCCTGCACCCTTTTGGCAGAAGGGGTGCAAGAAACAGGATGGGACTGAAAGTTCCAGAGTGCTGTGGATAGTAAGGATTGGAGAAACCTACCCAGGACCTGCACTGGTGTCTCCTCCCCACACCCACGCACTGACCCCAGGCAGGTGTCACACTAAGCAGAGCAGCAAGTCTGAGAAGGAAGAGGCAGGAAAGTGGACACTTCACATGAGCACAGGAGATCAGCAAAGAGGGAAGGCCTCAGTGTGTGTTTGCTCTGGGCCAATTTAAGGAGGATGTGACTGGCACAGACACAGGGCTGAAGAGCATCTCCCTCTTAAATTCCCAGGAATGCTTCTGCTGAAGAAAGGAAGAACCGTGAGGCAGATGTTAGAGGGTTAACTGAAGGTGTAAGACAGACACTGCCTGTGTGTTGAGAAATGATCTGGCAGGGTGAAAGTGATGTGGGAGAAGGTTAAGCACTGACTCAGTATTTAAAATTCCTCACATCAGCTCAGGACATTCATTGAGGCCATTTCCCAGCTCTGCAGAATGCTCTCTACACAGCTCCACACTTTTCTGTCACAGAAGCAGAAGAGGGCAGTGGATTAGTTCAAACGGGCTCACTGAGGGTAGACAGGAACCCTGTCCTGCACAAGTGGATTCACCTATAACCCAACAGGCTCCTTTTGGAAATCTAAAATATTAACCCATGTCAGAGACACTGCCAGGACCAGACTCCTGAGTGCTGATATCAGGCCTGATTCTCAATGCTGCTCTTTCACCCTCCAGAACATACCATAGAAAAGAAGACAGAAGCCCATGGGAACCCCTCAGAGATGGCCTCCTCACATGGGGCAATACTGCTGCAAAAGGAGCTGGTAGTTTCAGGGAGGAGCAGCATGAATGCTAGTCTTGGGACCAAAGGAACTTCCTTGGAAAGCTTGTCTTGGGAGAGGCAACATTTCCCAATAACATGAAGCCCTTGTGAAATGAGGGATGGGTGTCTGTAGAAACTGCAGAAATATATGCTATTCCCTCGGGCTAACAGACTTGTTCAGCCTGAATCTTGTTGTCACTGTCTGCAGGAGCAAAGGTTGATGAAAGACCTGCAAGCAAAAGGGTAATAACAGAAAATGGCAGAGTAGGAAACTATTTTGTACCGTAGATCCCTGGCTTGACTTTCTGTCTCTGAAAGCCAACCCTACTGCAGATCCTGGGCTATTTTCTCTCTCCTTCAGCCAGGAATCCTTAGGCAATCGGTAGATCTCCAGCCAAGCTTCTGTGCTGCCTGCATTGGGAAACTCTGTTAAGCAACTGGAAATAAGGAGGAAAGGTTTTTCAGGCGAGCAGTTTTTACATCCTCAAGACAGAAACCTGATTTCATTGAGCCTTCAGGGAGCCTTGGGAACTGCCCAGCTCCAGATTTAGGACCAGTGCTGATCCATACCAGGCCTGCTGGAGAGGACAGGGGGCGGCAGCAGCAACTCTCTAAGATGGAGGAAAGGACTAGGTGGTTGAGGAATAGCAACCCTAGGAACCCAGAACACAGGTAACGTTTTAAAAGCCTTGACTGCTCATCCCTCCACTAAAACACAACAGTTGTCACCCAACACACCATGCTCCTGCACTTGCCTTGCAGCAGGAGTCCTGCATAATCACCTCCCTGGGAAAGCACCACCTCCACACAGGTACTTCGCTTGCTGATATCCTCCTGCCACAGAAAGAGGGATGGCATCAGAGCAAGGTTACTGATTTAGAGAGCTCCACATCTTTCAACATTTCAGGATGGGTGAAGGCAAGACAGACTGCCAGGAGAACAGGACTAACTATCCCATGTGCAGGGTATAGGCATAGGAGTAGGGAGATAAGGAAAGTGCTCTGTGCCTAGGGTTTTAAGTTGATCTTGGGTTAGTAGCACTGTCTAGAGGTCAACAATGCTACTCATGCCTTATGGAAGTGTCCCAGAGGTGCTCAGAGGGGCCCTACCTCAGGCTGTCTCTCAAAGGTGCATGGAAGCTTCATGCACAACAGAAAAATGGACAGAAATCGGTGGGAAGTATGGCTTGATGCCATAAAAGTGCAAAGAAAAAGCAGATATCAAAAGAATTTAACACCAGACAAGGCCTTGGAGACTGGGAAAGAGATTTACACTTTATGATTTACACTTACTTTACACTTTTTCATTTACACTTTGCATTCTTAGAGGAAAACCATCAGCTCTGAAAATCACTTTAGTAAATGAAGACTCATTTTACTGGGTCACAAATGATGGTGCTCAGAGATCTTCAGGAGGTGCCTTTGCTGGGAGGTAAATCTAGTTGCCTGCATTCAGAGAGGACTTTGGCAATGACACTTTGGGGTATATGACACTGTCACACTTCCTGTGCTCTCCTGGCTCAGGGAATGGCTCTCTGGTCACGGAGAGCTGCTGCTGCCCATATCAGAGTATTTCTGGAGGGCAATTAGTACTCATCACAGTTGATTACTTAGCAGTTTTTGCCCAGTATCTATGGAATTAACTCACTACTTACCACCTCATTTAAGTTTTTAATGAATAGGAAGCTGTCCTTGTGAAAGCAGAAGAGCCAAACAAACCCTGCAAGAGAAACACAGATTTAAGCGGCAGCAGAAAGAGATGGTCGCCAAGATCTTGGGAGATGGCTGTGACAATAGGTGCAAGAGAGTGAACAGAGCTACATATTTTTGTGGGCTCAAGGAATAATGTTCCCTTGCTTCCAGCACTGAACTTCCACTGCCTTCTTTATGTCAACATTCGCAAACAGCTGGCCATACACATAGATGGATCAGCCAAATTGAAAAGTATTTCCACAAAAAAAAAAAGAGATAGCTTTCAGATGAATTATACTAACTTGATGTGTTATAGGATGGTGAAACAAAGAACAAGCAGGAACCTTCGGATACCAACACTTTCTCACTGGTCCAAGGTATTACTAGAATTTACTGCAGCACAGGTCAGCTGGGCACCCACCCTGCTGCTCCACAGAGAAGGACACCAAACCCACACCCTTCATTAATCCCATGTCCCTAGGGCCACTGTCGTCCTAGAACCTATTATCTAACCTCCTTCTTCATAGAGCTTTCTAAGAAGTCTGTCAGTCAAGCTTACATTCCTCCTGCTAATTTAGTGCTTTTCTGTAAAGTAGCTGCCCCCCAGCGCGTGGGTAGCTGAAGAAAATCCAAGGCAAACTAACCCAGTTCATCCACAGCAAGCAGGGCATGGTGCTCATTCCCTAAGGCCGAGGCTCGGATGACACAAATCTCTGTCTTGGCTGTATCCCAAGCACAGACCTGCTTACAGTCAGACACCTGGAAGACAGCCAGACCCATGGACAGTCCAACAAAGACGTATTTTCCAGAGGCTGCAAGGCAGCTGGCTCTTCCTGTCACCTACCAAGAAAAGGAGAAGATGAGTGTACCCCACCAGCATTCCAGTGGGGAATATGTCCGTCACACACCTAAACTTTCACCAGCAATAAGCAATGATCTACTCTACAATGGAAAAAAAATTAATGAACCTTCATCAGAAGATCAGTGGGAACATGGAAGCAGGTGAATATGTCTCATGCCCCATCACAGAGATTGGTCTGTATCAGGAATGAGAAAGTTTGATCCCACCCCTGCCTTTCTGATCAACAGAAGGGGCTTCAAGGCCCACAAGATGGAAGGTGATACTGAGTTTCCCCAATTTCTAGGCAAATGCAGGATGCTAGCAGACATGCTCTGCCTCCTGGATACCTCTGCAGACAGATGGAGAAGGTCCCCACACACCATCAAAACAGCCCCTTTCTGCTGCCAGGTATCATCGGATCACAAAGCCTGTCCATTTGCATGACACTGGTTAATTACTTTCTCCCCAGCAAACAAGGGTGGAGCCTGGAGAAGAAGAAGGTGAATTTAGCACTGTTTAATATCTACCTCTCTCTTCTCAGAGAGGTGTGATGGATGGGTGGGAAGCAGAACCTGTCAAACAAGCTTGGAAGCTGCAGCCTTTTGAATCAGGTGAGATGTGGCGGATTCTGAGGAAGGTGATGAAGGGAAGGATGTGAAAAACAACTGAATGGTTATTCTCAGGAAAAGCTGCTAAGGTAACTAGCGCTGCCTCTGCTGCAAGGGGCTTTTTACCTGGAATTCAGCTGTGGGGAAGCATTTTGTGGCCTGGACTTTTCGTTTCTGTGCTTCTTGGAGCGCCTCTCTTCTTTCGATGATCTCCATAGCATTCTCAAAAACCAGCATCACCAGTTTCTTGACCATCCTGACAGGCTGCGGCAACGCATCAAACGCTCGATCGGGATCCTGCAGGAAGAAATCTTCCTCATCATCCTTTATCCAGTCTTTTTCCGATGGTGGAGGAATCTCCAGAGGATGCTTCCGGATATACACTGGCATCTTTCTGCCTTCCCAGGCACCAGAGGTGCAGTGATCACAGCAGATGCAGAAGACGAAAGAATCTGGCAATATCTACATTCATGAGGTAAATGAAAAAAGAGGAAAAAAAAAAAAAAAAAAAAGCTGGTTAATGATATCTGACAGGGGAGCAGGGGTTCTGTGCAGGCAGTCAGAGCAGGCCTATTTTATAGAGCCCTTTTCTACTTGCTCCACCGCTTCTGTTGCTCGTGTTTTTATCCAGCTCTGGGAGTATCGCAACACCAATACCTCTGGGCTAAACACCCAGGTGAAAAGGTAAAGGTTTAGGTGTGAGTTTGTATACAAACTCAGGACAAAATATTTGCAAGTGTGGGCTTGCCCTTCATTAAAATAAAATACTTATTCAGCCTGAAATAAATTACAATAAAAATACTAATAACTTTGAAAACAGGTAAATTCACCACAATTTAAGCTGAATGTTCAAGCCACTGGGCACATCATCTATTTCTAAACTCTAATGTTTTCAGCGTTAACTATGAGCACAGCCACCGCGAGCTCAGACCCTATTGGGAGCTGCTGCACCAGGCGCGGGCTCCTCTGGAGCTAAAAATTCCTCCAAAAAAAAACCCAGA